AAGAGACCCTATCCAACCACAAATCCACGGGGCTCTTTATGAGAAGGGCATTTTCTGGCCATTTCTCTAGCAAATAATTAGACAATCAACTAAGAAAATGAAGACCTAGAAGGAGTAATACCTCCTCCTTCTATAGGAAGCAGACTTCCACTATACATAAATATAGTGCTTCTGTGAAGCTACTGTGCTTCTTTACATGAAATAGAAATTTCCAACCAGGCAGCTTTCCTAGGTACATTGGACCCTAGAGACGTCAAAAGGGCTGCAGGTCATAAGGGACCCATTCAGACTCTGCCCAAACAGAATCAAATGATGTCTCAAACTCCACTGGCCATAATTCAGATCTTTTACATTTAAATGCAGGAAAATGCTGCAGAAATATCCAAATAAAGAAGTAAACAAAAGCATATTTTTCCTCCTCAGGATTCCATTTGTGTTGATGGGTGTGGGAGACAAAATGGGGAGGAGGGATCAATCCGCTGTTTGCTGTCAAAAGCTAAATAACTGCCCCCTTTCTGTGCTTTTGCTTCTCAGCTACTAAGTGGGGAGAGAGAGAAAAAGAATGCAAATTGCCTCTTAGAATGTGGGGGCTCTGCCTGTGAAGGAACTATGGGAATTGACATGGAATTTGGGGTGGAGAGATGGACGGCATGAAAGAGAAATGGAATGAGGTGCACATTGAATCAGAAACCTGACCGAAGGAAGACCTGGCTCTGTGATCTTCTGTGCTCAGCCTCAGTTTCTACCTCTACAGCATGGGAAGAATAAGCAGCTCCCAGAATAAGCAGCTCCCAGAGCACAACAAAACAATCTGAACCACTTTTGTCTTCAGTAACCTTTCTTCCATCTGGGGCTGAACCAAAGGAGGTTATGGGAATCTAGCTTGGGCCCCAGGCTCTGGGGAATGGGTGCAGGCAAGCATCCCTAAAGGCTACTGCATGTTCTCAGCCCCTGTTTGCCTTGGCCAGGTTGTAATAGTCCTGCTGGCTTTGCCAACAGGATTTTGGTGTTTACTGTCCCGCTGGCATGGCTGCTGAGGCAGCTGGTGCCCTGCCTCAGATAACCATGCTAGCTAATATTGCTCCAGGCAAGTGAAATCTGTCTTGTGGCTGCAGCCCATTTCCTGATGCATCTGGATCTCTCTCAGATGGATGGGTCCCCTTGGATCACCACCACCACAAGACTGCTAGGTTTCTGAAAGAGGAGTGCTGTGCCCACAGCCCAGTCTCTCCCTTTAGAATCAGCCCGAGGACTAAAAGGCATCAGGAAGTAAGCCAGAAAAGCCAAAAAGACGTGGGAAAGCTTTGCTTTGCAACGTGTCTTTGTGTTTTCAGGGGGCAGTAGTTAATACTGGAGGCATATTGAGGAGCAAGGAGGCAAGGGAGACTCCCAATCAAGGTTGCACTGGACAAGTCAGAATGCATGGTTTTGTAGCAGGGTGGAGGGAGCAGGAATAGCAGGTGCCTGACCAGATGGGAAGAACTTGTACTCACAATAATTTCATTCCCACCCCTCCAAGGCCACTCCTAGAGCCTTCAGCCACCTCCAGAGCACACAGTGTGCTCACAAGAGATATAAAAAATACCCTCCACATGACACACCGCCTCTGACTTTCCCAGGCTGCTAGTTAATAACTTGAGAGTCATGGCTGGAGAAAGCAAAATAATTGAAAGCAATGCTTAGTAAATTGCAGTTTCAATGTCTTCATTGTCTTAACAATTTGCAAAACCCATTTTATCTTTTTTAGATTCCTCGAGTTGAAATACCACTGTGTGCTGTAATTAAGTTAAGTGACATGCAGCTGTAAAGACACAGGTTGTGAATGATTACATTTGGCTCATATCATCCAGCTTGGGTGGGAGGGGGGGCCAATCTGCCTGCCAATCTGCCAATCTGCCTGACTTATACTCCCTACCAGGGTGGAGGGAGAGCAGAATCAGAGTGCAGCCTTGTAAGGCTGGCAAGAGCCACCAAGCCTGAAGTGAATAGGGGCCATCAAGGGCTGAAGTGAACCAAATGATTCCTAAAACTGGTCCTTTTCAAAGGTTTATTATTGATGAGCTGGGAATGGGCCCAAGGCTCCACTCATACTAAGCACCACTACTACCAGAGAGCGATATTTAGTGTACATGCATATGTGTGTTGTGTTGTGTTGTGTGTGTGTGTGTGTGATACATGTGAGTTTTCCTGGCCAGCTCTTGGGATCTGTATGCCTCTGCCCTCTGAAATTTAGGATTACAGACATGAGCAATCATGCCTTGGCTTTTTTTTTGTGTGTGTGTGGATTTGGGGAATTCAAACCCAGGTCCCCATTCTTGTACAGCAAGCACCTTTACCCCCCATCTCCCCAGCTATAGGACAACTTCTAAAGTTCAAATAAACTTCTCTCTCAACCAAATTGACTCAGTCTAGGGAGCAGCACATATACATGAACTGTCCAGGTCTTTTTCTGTGTGACACTGAGGACTGAACCCAGGGCCTCATGCATGTTAAGGAGGTGCTCTAACACTGAGTCAAGACAACCCCAGCTTTATCTAGAGAATTTTTTACATTTATCAGTGTTTTGCTTATGTATATAGGCACAGCATACTTTGTGCTTGAACAGGACAGGCAAGGTCACTGAATGTCCTGGAATTGGTTCACAAATGGCTGTGAACTGTCACATGGGTGCTGGGAACCCAATCCAGGTCTTCTCCAAGATGAGTAAGTGCTCTCAGGAACCACTGAGCCTCTACCTTTGTGTCTGTGTGAGTGTGTATGTGTGCAGGAGGACAAGACAGCTGCCGCCTTCTACCACATGGATTGTCAGGGTTGTTGGCAAGTGTCTTTACCCACTGAGGTAATCCTCCAATCCCCAGGATGGCTATTTTTTAAAAACTTGGTCTTTAGGGACATCACTTCTGTACTTGGACCTTCTCTGTCTCGGGTGTTCTTTTAGGTCTGCCAGAAGGCAGAGCTGTATTCAAATGGTTCCTGAAGCAGATGAGGAGCTCTGTGTCCTCCCAAGTTAGCCTAGCTTTTCTCGGGGGACTCTTCCTTCAGCCTTCTGTGCCATTCCCTTTCCTTTTCCTCTCATACACCCAGCTGCTGTGTGCCCGCTCTCTGGTGTGTTTGTCACTTGCGACTTCTTTTTTGTCTGCTTCTCTGAGGTACATCTCCTCCCCTTATCAGTCATCCTTCTAGGTGTTGTAAAGGCCTGAAGGCAGGACCACCCTGTGAAGACTCTTTCCTTCCAATCCATCACATCACCACAGATGCTTTTTTTTTTTTTTCTCCCTAAAGATTGATTTCATGTAGATGAGTGCTCTAGCCTCATGGACACATTTATGCCAGCAGAGGGCATCAGATCCCACTAGAGAAGGTTGTGAACCACCAATTGGTGGCTGGGAATTGAACTCGGGACCTCTGAAAGAGCAGCCAGTGCCCTTAACCACTGAGCCATCTCTCCAGCCTCCCAGACACATCTTCAAACACCAAATAAAAGCTCTTTCTTACTCGAACCCTTCAAAGGTTTCCATTACACTCTGGGCTAAACAGTTCCCAGGATAACATTGTAGATGCTCTTCATAATTCATTGAGCAAACATTTATTGAATCCCTATGAAGTCCTTGTTACTTTGGTTTAAAAGCAAGGAGTAAGTGGCGAGAGAGATGGCTCAGTGCTTAAGAGCACTGGCTTCTCTTTCAGAGGACCTCAGTTAGAGTCCTGCTCCCCACTCGATGGTTCACAACTATCTGTAAATTCAATTCCAGGGGGTTCAAGGCCCTCTTTCGGCTGCCACAGGCACTAGATACACAGGCATACATGCAGGTAAAAGCAAGGAGTAAAACATGTAAAGGGATCATATAACCCAGCAACACAAACGATTCACTATCACGAGGGAAGCAGTAATGTGGAAAGGGCCTCTGGGATTCCCAGTGTGGTCTCTCAAACTCTTTCCTCCTTCATCTCCCAATATTCCTTGCTAATTCAACCAAATTGCACTAGACTTTACAGATTTATTATCTTCAGGGGTGTTATTTTCTCCTAGGCTTCTATACTGCAGTCCACATCCCAAATCTTTATCCTTTTCTGACACCTTGAGTAGAAATGGACTTGGCCACCAGGTGGGTGTGATGGTGTTTCCTTCTCATCCACAGACACTGGTGCTTAACTCAGGCTCCATTTGTGAACTTGCCACATTCTACTGTACACTCCACAGGAGCAAGGCATTCTCTGTCCCCATCTGTCCCCACCCCCATAAGCATGCAGCAGACAATTACTTTCCACAGCCTATGGATGGGCAGAGACAAGGAGACATCCTGAAATTTCCCCTCTCACTGGAGAAGGAGAGCTCTTCAGCACCCTAGGCAGAACATGCTAAATAACAGGGATTGGCCAAGGGCAAGATACCAACACTACACTGATTCCAGATGTCTGTGTGAAGCTGACCGTGGCTCTAGAAGGAAAGGTGCTGGTCCCAAAATGTCTGTTAGGGAAAACAAACCTGGCTTTACCTTACTAACAGATTATAGTACCTTGGATAATTCAGGTGTTTTCCTTGGAGAGTACTGTGGGATTAAATGCCCCAGACATTGTTGAGGTGGGAAATCCACAAACACTGTGAAGCAGTGTTCACTTTTAGAGCTCCCTTCTACCTTCCCCATACTCCCCCCGACCCCACCCCACCCCACTAGAAATCCAAGTCCAGAAGAGCAAGGGAGACAAAGGCCTCACATGGCATTCTGGACAAAACAGGGAATGAGCTAGCAGGTAGGATGAACTGTTATACCTGGAGTCTGGCTATCTCTGCTGGGCAGAAGGAAAGGCACCACGATGCCCCAGACAAGGTCATTTCAGGCTCTTGGATCCTAACGAAAAAGGCAGGGCTTCCAGTGAATCACCCATCCCAAGGAGGTCTTCAAAACAAAAGCTCCTGGGATATTTCAATAGATCAGTGAGGGGTACTCAGGGGAATTAGCATTCCACCTCCCATTGTGGACCAGGCTCCTCCCTAGTACTGAGCATGGCAATTTATTTTATTAATGTATACATGAAGACATATAATTTCTGCAGGTCAGTGGAAGAAACGCCTGCAGGCTGGGTACTCTCACACTACCTGTCTTTGCCAGCAAGACTGAAGGGGGAGAGTAGCAGCAAGAGGCAGTCTGGGAACTGAGGTGGCAGGCCTTTGGACTGGCTGGAGTGGAGAGGATCGCTTTTGCTGGTGAATTTGCAACTGTCCTGATTCTTTTAATCAAGACTTGGAATTCCACCACGCTTAGTCCTAGCTCTGCCTTTGTTTTGAGAAAGAAGGGTAGACCGTCACAGGCCAGCAGGTGGAATGAGGGCTCTGGACTCCTGGAAATTATGAGTCCTCCCCTCACTCCTCCCTCAAGTTGCTTAGCCTGGGGGACTGTTCTGGACAACAGTGGCCATCCTGAGAGAGACTCAGAGGAGCACCACGGCTGAGGCAACTGTCCTAGGGAAGCAGCACTCTATCCCTAGAAGTCCTGGTTCCATACACAGCACTGTGAGGTAACAGGAGGGCATGGAAGGTCGCTGTCCTCACAGGTGCCAATGAGACCATTTAGCAGACCAGAATTTCTAGATGAGAAAATGAAACTTCCAGTCCATTCTGGAGACACAAATCATTTCCTGGAATAAGAGCTAGAAAGGAAAAACGGCAAAGATCCAGTCTGATTCTAGAAAGGAAAAAAAAAAAAAGGATTTTTCTGAGATCATCTTTTACAAAGGCCTTTGGAATGGTAAAGTTAATTTGTCGCCCCCCCCCCCGGCCCCCGTGATGTCATAGATGAAGCAGGGCAAGGGCTCTGCCGCTGAGCTCCATCCCAGCCCTAATGTCACTGTTACCATTTCTACCCAACGAATCAGGAGGTGCTTAGACATCTGTGGTCACCAGAATTCATTTTACCTGTGTAACTACTACCCGTATACTACCATACCGTCCAGGACATTTGCTATGGAGCATTAAAAGCAGATATGATGGCTGACTACAGATGGTATACTAATGATTAAGAAGCTGTGTGCCTAATGGGGCAAGGGTACCCAACCCATAATTCTGCAGTTAATGCCTGTCGGTAAAGGGAAAATCAGTTTTCTCCAATCCAAAGTCACTGGGTATATCAACCATACTCCAGGGCCGGCCCAATGCTCAGGAGTAGTTGGTCAACAGAAAACAAACTCAACAGTGGTTTGTGGACTTTTTGTTTCATTTTGCTCTGTTTCAGCACTTTTTTTTTTTTTAAATCTTATTCATCCTTTCCCTATTTTGATTTTGATTTTCTCGTTTTTTGTTTTTTTATTAACTGCTGTTTTGTTTCTTGTTTTTGGTGCTTTTTTTGAAAGAGAGAGAGAGAGGTTTGGAAGATCTAGGAGGAGCTGAGGGAGGGGAAATATGATCAAAACATATTGTATGAAAAAATGTTTTAATAAAATACATAGCAGGGCGGTGGTGGCATAGGCACTTAATCCCAGCACTTGGGAAGCAGAGGCAGGCTATGAGTTTGAGGCCAGCCTGGTCTACAGAGGTAGTTCTAGGACTGCCAGAGCTACACAGAGAAACCCTGTTTAAAAAAACCAAAAAGAAAAGAACAATGAAGCTGTGTGCCAAGAGCTGGAAGTTGGGGCACAGACTGGCAGTCCTAACCCTGAACAGCAGAGGCAGGAGGATGGCGAGTTTGGAACTAGTGAGACTTTGCCCAAAACAATTTTTTGAAATAATAGCACTTTTTTTTTTTAAGAGGAGGCAATAGGCCGGGCGTTGGTGGCGGACGCCTTTAATCACAGCACTGGGGAGGCAGAGGCAGGCAGAGCTCTGTGAGTTCGAGACCAGCCTGGTCTACAAGAGCTAGTTCCAGGACAGCCTCCAAATCCACAGAGAAACCCTGTCTCGAAAAACCAAAAAAAAAAAAAAAAAAAAGAAGAAGAAGAAGAAGAAGAAGGAGGCAATGGGAACATGCTTTTGGATGGTAGTTACTTAACCTCTCTGCCTCTGTTTCCCCATTTGCAAAAGGAACATTTGAGAGGACTGAGAACAGCGTGTGTCTTTATCTAGCCCACAGCAAGAGCATACAACCACGGTCACTGTGGTCATCATGATCCAGGCCACCTGGTCAATCTTTAGTCATCCTGCGACCTTATTCACTGAGTTCTTTAACCCTGAGATCATCACCGCTATACAGATCCCCACCTGGCCCCAGTGACCAACCATTCCTTATATATGTGCATCCAGAGGAAGGATGGCCAGCCTGTGGTGACTTCTGCAGACAGGTGGAAGAAACTTCCTGGTCTCCATTTCTCTCATGGGTCAGGACAGGCTTTAAGTTCACAGCAGTGTGGTAAAGGGGAAGAAAACCTGTCTGTCTGTCCTGAGTCTGTCACTTGAGTAAGGATAGGCAAGCCATGAGACACCCTCAAACCTTGATTTTCTTTACCTACAAATTGTGGCTCAAATAACATCTGCCTTGCCAACCTCATAGTACCACCATGAGGCTTCCAGGAGCTTTTGTTGTGTGAAAGTAAACTGTCATTGAATTTACTGAACAAAGCTTTGGTCCACCACATGGCCGCCTGTGCTAATCCTCCCCTCACTCAGCCATCATTTATCATGTAAAAAGCTCTTTTCTTACAGCAGTCCTCTCTATTTTTTAATCAACATGTGATAGTCAGGCATTCTGCTGAATATGACTATCTTTTGTGAGCTTGCTTTCTTGGCAGTTGTGATCTGCTAACTTCAAGAACAATTTTTAGAATCCATTATTTGTTCTGAAAGCAGAGGGCCAGATCTGCCATCTGGTCAACCCTCCTAACATTCTCAGAGCCCACTCAATCCTTGCTCTCCAGGACTCCTGCAGAAATGCTTTCACTGGAAAATCATTGGTTTACCCTCAGTTCTGACTCATGGGTTATGTGTAGAGGTCAAAGGAGAGCTTCCTGAATCAGTTCTCTCCTGTCAGTTTGTGGGATCTGGTGATTCAACTGGGGTCCTCAGGTTTGTGGGCAAGAACCTCTACTTCAGAGGCCCCCTTAATGGTCCTGAATATGAACCAAAGCTTTCAGGTGAGCCTGTGATTCCCCACTCTCATCTCAATGTCCTTGGATTTCTTTAACTCATGACCGTTCATGCTTCCCTGATGCATCAAGCACAGCTGTGAGCTGCCAGGCTGCTTTTCTTTGAAACAGGGTCTCACTCTGTAACCCTGGCTGGTCTGAAACTTGTTATGTAAACCAAGCTGGCTTTGCACTTGTGGTGATCCTCCTGCCTTTGCTTCCCATGATTTACAAGTCTACACAGCCAACGCTTGGCTCCCTATCTGTATTTTAAAATTCATTTTACAGGGTCATGCCGCTTCCGTCGTTGCTCATAGAGCTGCTCGTCTTCTTGCCTCAGCACCCTGAGTCCTGGGAATACAGGCATAAGCCACGCTGGGCTGAAATATGCCTTGAAAATTTTATGACATTGATGTGGGGCACATTGGTGGAGGTCAGAGGACAAGTGGCAGGAATCGGTGCTCTCCATCCACCCTGTCAGCCCCAGGGATCAAACTCAGGCAGCAGACACCTTTATCTGAGGAACCATTTCACTGGCTCTAGAACAGGTGTTTTCACAAAACCCAGGCGATGCCTGAGGGCCATGACCACTCAAGGCCATACTACAGTGTAAGACACTGGTAACCAGGGGGCCAGGCCAGCATATCTGCCAACAATCTGGTTTCTGTGGCAGGAATGAAGGTGATGGTGATGGCGGAGCCTTGAGCAGCGCCAGTCTCTTCCTGTGGAGTTTTGTGTATGACTGTCCTTCAGAGGCACCTTAGGCTTTGAAAGAGCACTCCTTACGGTTTCCCTGGCCCTTCCACACAGTGGAATCCACCAGGGTCCTCTGTCCTTTCATTCTGGCCCTTCCCTTCTCATTACAGGGCCAGCCAGCCTTTGATATAGTGATACAAAGTGCACCTTGTGGTGGAAGTGGTTCAGCACTATATAAAGAGGCCGAGTAAGGGTCATATTTTGAGGAGAATCTCAGCTGTTGACTCACCTGTAAGTCTTCATCAATCCATTTACCACCCCCCCATACTCAACACTCCAGAAAGATCCCGAGAGGCACTGACAGCGCACCCACCTATCCAGGGTAGAAGGGTAGGCACCTACCTAAGCTCTCACATCCTTTCTGACAAGAGATCAGACAGTGGCAGTGTGCTTCGGGTCCTGTGTGCCCGGTCGCTTGTAGTGCCTGGGTCAATCGTAGTGCCTAGGTCCCTTGTGGTACCTGAATGGCCTCTGCTAGGCCGAGGATCCAGACGGGCCTGAGTGGCAATCACCAGAAGGTCATTCAGAGATGCAGCATTTCTACGAGAACCCCGCAGGAGGAGGACGGAGGACACACCCATCTCTTTCTTCCTGCTAGAGTTACGGCTGTGGGAGCACCACTCCTTGGTGAAGGATGGGTTTCCTGGAAAGGCAAAGTCATTGGCATCACCAGTTTGTGCGGCTATAGTCATCACATCCACCTCCCACAAGGCTCCCATGTCCCCAAAACTTGCTAATGGTCACATCTTGGAATCAAAGTCAGTCACTGCTTCGTTCCTTCTCACAGTTTTGGTGGCCCAAGATTGGCACAGACAATGGGTCTCATGTGAACAAGATCTGGGAATGCTAACCACCAGCCAGCGCTCTCTTGACCCTTTTGCTCAATGGGGATAGACACTCTTTAAGAGCGTGGGCCATGTCTCCATCATCAGACAGAAAGGTCTAACCCTGCTCTTGATCTGAAATCCCAAAACCTAGGACTTCTGACTTGTTCCTCTCTCTCTAATGCTATATAGTTTGAATTTTCTTGTCATTGTTAGTTTTGTGATTTTAGGGGGTAATTATTTTTATTTTATTTTTTATGTGTATGGGTGTTTTGCCTGTATATCTGTCTGTGCACCACGTGTCTGCCAGATGTCCATAGAGGCCAGATGAGGGCATCAGATTCCCTGGAACTGGAGTTATAGACAATTTTGAGCAGCCATGTGGGTGCTGGAAATTGAATCCAGGTCAAAACCAGTCAGTGCTCTTAACTGCTAAGCCACCTCTCCAACCTTTAGTTTTGTAATTAATAACATTTTTTTATTATTGTGTATGTGTGCATATGTGTGGGTCACATACCAACACACATGTGGAGGTCAGAGAACAATTTTATGGAGTCAATTCTTTCTGCCGACCTTTATGTAGCTTCCAGTGATCAAATTCAGGTTGCCAGGGTTATGTGGCAAACACCCCTTTATCTGCTGAGCCATCTCACCAGCCCTGCTAATTTTTATCTTTTAAAAAAATTTTTTTAAGATTTATTTTATTATACATACAGTGTTCTGCCTACATGCCAGAAGAGGGCACCAGATCTCATTATAGATGGTTGTGAGCCACCATGTGGTTGATGGGAGTTGAACTCAGGACCTCTAGAAAAGCAGCCAGTGCTCTTAATCTCTGAGCCATCTCTCCAGCCCCTCTTTTAAAAAATTTTAATGCTGGTGGTGCAGGCCTTTAACCCCAGCACTAGGGAGGCAGAGGCAGGAGGAAGATCTCTGTGAGTTTGAGGCCAGCCTTGTCTACAGAGTGAGTTCCAGGACAGCCAAAGCTACACAGAAAAACCCTGTCCTGAAATAAACAAATTGTTGGGGCTAGAGAGATAGTCCAATGGTCTTCCACAGGACCTAGGTTCAAATCCCAGCACCCACAGAGTAGCTTGCGACTATCTGTCACTCCAATCTCAGGGAATCCAACTCCCTCTTCTGACCCCCAAGGGCATCCTGCACAAGCATGATATGCAGATATGTATGTAGACAAAACACCCAGACACATAAAAATCAATCAATAAAATTATTTAAAATAAATTTTGTTTTTATGATGTATATGAGACCATATATGTGAACTGCATGGGTACAGGTGTATAATGAGGCCAGAAGAGGGCTTTGGCTATCCTGGTGCTGGAGTTACATAAATAGTTGTGAGCTGTCCTGTATGGGTGCTGGCTGGCCCTTATTTATCTTTTTGAGAAAGTGTCTTGCTGTGTAACTCAGGCTAGCTGCAAACTCCTGATCCTCTTGCCTCAACCTCCTGATTGCTGAGATTTCAAGCATTGGCCCCCAGACCTGGCCCTAATGCTATAGTTTGGATGTTGAATGTCCCCCAGAGGCCTGAAGCTAAGGTTTTGTCACCTGATGTTCCTGAGAGGAAATGGAACCTATGGTGGCTAGCCATGGAATGGTGGGTTTCCTTCACCACATCCTCGCCATCATGGCTACCCAGGCACTCTCTCATCCAAGACCTAAAGGCAATAGGTCTGCCCTGTCATCAACTAAAACTCTGAAAGCCATGAGCCTAAAACAAAAACATTCTCTTTAGAAGTTAATGACATGAGTCATTTTGTCACTATGAGAGAAAGCTAACCATCATGCTTAAGCTCACGGCACACTCCTAACTACAGCAGCACTCACGTAACTTGGAAGTCAGGAACAATGAGCGTTTCTTCTTTATCTGAACCTTCTGCAGTATCTCTGACATCAGATGCTGCCTCTTCACCTCATTCTTTAGCAACGTCCAATTCGGGTCCAAAATCTTGGGTTTGTAAGACACGGGAGGTGTGAGGTTTTTCTCCAGGATCAGCTTGTAGGGGACCCCCTGCTGCTTGCACCTATAGGAGACTGTGTGGACACTCTCAGAACTGCTGCACTCAGGGCTGTTGGTCAGGTTCAGGCTCGCCAGGGATTCTAGAGAGCTTGAGAGCCGGGCGGTGGGTTCTGGGGAAGTTTCTTCAGATGTTAAGGGCTGAAAGAGAAAACAGCCTGGAATGAGATGGCAGGAGGCAAAGGATTTCCCTTCTAGCTCCTCTAGGAAAAAAGGGCAGAAATTGCCGGGCGGTGGTGGCACAAGCCTTTGATCCCAGCGCTCAGGAGGCAGAAGCAGATGGATCTCTGTCAATTCAATTCAAACTGGTCTACGTAGTGAGTTCCAGGACAGCCAGGGCTACAGAGAGAAAACCCGTCTCAAAAAACAAAACAAAACAAAAAAGATGGTGTGGTGAGTATTTTGTTTATAATCTAACACATAAAGCTTGCCTGAAGATCAGAGTGCAAAGCTAGCCATACAGGCCAGGCAGTGGTGGCACACACCTTTAATCCCAGAAGC